AATGTAAAAGCCAGCCTATAAAATATGTGAAACTTTTTTTAAAGATCTTAGGTTGCTAGGTTCCCCCACTCTTTTATTTAATTTGATTCAATTTTAAGAACCATTGAAGTTTACTAAAAGATAAATTTGTGTAACTGATACCAAAATATTGTGTGTCGCATAGAGGAAAAGTGATATCGAACAATTACGTAACTCATGGCTGCCAATCTCCCAGTTTTTCAATATATCTCCTGGTCTCCCTGTAAATAATTGAAAATCTCAGTTTTTTATTTTATAGCTTTTACTAAGGAAAGCGTTTCACCCACAATAAATGCAAATTTATTGAATTAATGAAACTGCATTTCCCACCTATAATGAATTTCGGAATATTTTTCCTATTAATTTCTTTTCATCTGAATTGTGTTATTTTTATCATATTTTATATTTTTCTTATTGCATTTTATTTATATTAAATTTTTCTTATTAAAATTTTGTTTGGTCTGAAATTTTCTTAACCCAGTATAGGCATTTTTAAAATTTTGTATGAGGAATAAAGCAATGTTTAGTCTATTTGTATTAATTTTGTTTTACTTCAATACATAGTACATGGTGAATTTTATCCTCAGAAATACTTTGTACATTAATAATTTTATTTTCATCATTTTAAAAGTACTTTGATAAATGAAAGCCTTCCTTCCTTATTCAGGATTTTTTAAGGACATTAAAAAATCAAAATTAGGCACAGAACGTAAAATTTAGGATATCTATTTAAATATTAATATATTTTATAATCCGAGTCAAATTATTTACAGTTCAGTAACTTGACTTATGCATTAGAAAGTGAATTGAAGTATATTTGGAATTCATTTGGAAAGGCATCATTGTACAACAAGAAAACCTCCTTGTTTTTTTAGATTTCAAGGTTGGCAACTATGGCATAACTAAATTTTTTTGCCTTATGGATTTTTCTTTAATAAAGAATTTGACATTGATGAAATAGTTGGGTGTATGAAAGTTATGATTTTATGCCACTGTTTCTTTCTTTAATAAAATATGTATGAATTATGTGAATTATGACAGTAATATAGCTCAGTAGTACATTACATCACTGTCACAATGTAACATGTTGCATGGAAGAATTTTAATTAAAATTATGTTAGTCTTTTGAAGAAAGCAAAAATGAACTCCCCCTTTTTAAAAGTAAGTATGTCATAGATACAAGTTATTTGTTCCTATGTAAATACTAGTCTGAAATTTTAATTTGATTGTGGCTTATAATTATACAACTGCTTTTGATAAAGCTTATGAATAGTTTAGTAACTGTGATAGTATTTTAGGAGTATTTGCTAAGAAATTCTGTGGTCAGTAAACTTCCAATAAAATTTTGTTCAGGTTCATTCTAGAAACTTTTAATGTTCTTATCCAACATTTCCACAAATCTCAAAATGCCATAGATTTAATAATAAAAAGCATTATTTTTTTTTTAATAATTTTTTAAAAAAATCTATTGAACTGATTTTTTTATATATATAGGTTTACTGGACAGCACCAGCATATTGCAGTATTTATTGACAATCTTGTGCTTGTTGTTTTGAATAATGTAAGTTTCCTTCAACAGCATTTTGTAAAGTATTTAATAATTACTCATGTTATTTATATCTAAAGTGTTTTATTTAAAAAAAAGTTTTTTTAATTAATATTCTGATTAATGTAAACTAATGGCATCAAAAACAATCAAAGTATAACTTATAATTTATAAAGCAATCTTTATTCAAAATTATATGAGAAAGCATAGTTATTCTGTCATATTTATGTAAGCTGATTAATTTAATTGCATAATTTGCCAATAAAATTTTTTGAAAACTATTTTTAACTGTTATTCCTCTTTTAATGTTAATTTATCATCATTTGAAGTTGATATCAAATTATTTTAATTCATGGTGTAACTATCTATTCGTATTCAAATAAGATTAAGCATTGTAGCAGTCTTTCTTTATATTTAAGTTGTCTTTAATAATTAATAATTTATTTATTGTGGTTTTATTTCATGTAAAATTCCTCTTCTAGCTGAGGTACCAATATAAATCTAACACTCTTTTTGGTTTTTCATGTAATAATGAAATGATTTAATTACTGCATAGGGGTAATTACAGATAAGTAAAATGTTTTTGATGAAGCATTTAATTTAAAATTTCTGGGTTTGAGACAAGAATGATTAAAAATCTTTATTTCTAAACATTTTAATTATTTAAATGTATTTTGATTAAAATAATATATGTAAAAGTTATATCTAACTATGTACAGTTTTATTATGTTGCATGTTGGGTAACAATTTCTAGTGATGATTTTACATTTAGTTGTTTTAATACAAGTTCTTACTTAAAGTTTAATAATCTTTTGAAAAAGAATGACCTTTCACTTTTTGATTTATGAATATGCCTTTCTCAAATTTTTATAAAATAAACTAACAGTTTGTATATGAATAAAATCGATGGGCAGAAAACTGCATAAATATTTTCCTTTGAAACTCTTGATCAAATGTTGTCAAAATGTAAACATGACAATGTGCATAATTTAGGAGGCAATATTTTTTATTTGGAATTATTCTGTGGTTGTATGTACTGTAGTTTGTCATATTGTGGTAAAATGTTGAAATCTGATCTGATGAGCTTATTTTGCTTTGCATACTGAATTTGATCCCTTTCTGGTTGCCAAAAGACCATTTGGATGTACGTGTAGTATGACAATAACCGTTGCATATATTTAAATTATCAATACTTCTAATATTTTTAACTAATGTTATGTTTGTGCCAGTTCTAATGTTCAGGTTAGGTTATTTAATTACGGAAAGCCTCGAGAGCTATCTGCCTAATGGGAGGGATGCCTTCATAGAGGACTTTCTAAGAGAAACTGGCTCGTATACACATTACGCGTTGGGAAAACCACGAAAACACCCATGGGTTTCAAACCTTGGACTGAACTACCAGTGTTCAGCGACTTCACCGCTCAGCTGCTGGTGGGCCTAATGTTCAGAGTTGGATCAATTTAGTATTTGTAACAACCATTTACTATGATTTTCCCAGCATATCTTTGTAACTTGACATTTGAATTTTATAAATGAGAACTTTTTTTGAAGTTTCTAACTTAAAAATGGTAAAGAAGGGAGAAAACGGTGAGTTTTAAACATAAATTTTCATCTTTCTGTATTTGAATGTAAAATAAGTATTATGAGGGGAATCCAGTTAATAAGTTACAGATTGCTGTAGGATAATGAAAAATGATCATGAATAACACCAAATACTGTCAGGCTTGTAGTAACTCAATGAGTAAGACTACCAAAGTCCTCAAATGTGCACAAGACACTGGTGTGGTGACTATGCCACATGAGGATTGACATTATTGTGGCAGAGCAACATCTATCATTGTAGGCAACAATTATCATTGTAGGAATCAATATTTTTGATGCATCAAAGGCATTGCTGACTGAAGCTGCAACATTACACCGCAGTACAATGCAGTAGTTTTAGGCATTTAACCCTTTCGCACCTGACAGGACACATACCTCCCAAGGAAATTTCAAAAAATACTCTTGGGATAGAAACGCTTCTCTGTCTAATGAGAGACTTTCCCACCAGTCCTGCCAATATTTTTGAAGGTATTTTCATTCACAGAACATAGATGGCACTACCGTACATAATGCAATTCCCACGTTTTTGAAGTGTTGTAGCAGCTCATTCCATACTCTATGACGAAGTTAATAGTTTAGTTTTGGAAAATACCTGCCTTATTTTCGATTAAATTTTGATTTATCCATAAATCTAAGGCCAGATAAGTTACTCACGAAGCGGATTACCTCTAATAAACTGGTAAGTGGCAAAGTTTTACTTCCGTTTTTATTATCGGGACATATGTGTCCCTCTCATCTAGGATGGGAACACATTGTCCCTCTCATTTTGGATGGGAACACATTGTCCCAACAGTCCTATGTGATCATTTCTCTAGATATTATATTTTTCGGTTACTTTTGAAATAGTTGCGTATTATTTTTAATTTAGGCACATATTAATTCAGTCTAAAATGACTCGACGCCGGGGACTTACTAATGAAGAAATCAAAAAAATTTTAGAAGAGTCAGATGACGAAGATATTGATTTGGATGATGAAATAGACGATCCCGATTTTCAAGATCCAACACACAATTTGCAGTACTCATCCGATTCAGACGAGTGTGAAATGGATATCGATCATGATACCATTCCCCAAAATACAAAGAACAGCGGTGCTTTGAGTGATACTGATACGGCATCATTTTCATCAGCTGATGAGATACCATCAGCTAATGCTTCAGGCAGCAAACCAATCTTATGGTTTCATGCAGATTCAACTTTCCAACCTCGAATGACAATTCCAGCAGAGTCATTGCCTAGTTTGTTATTCAAATTAAATCGTTCAGCTACCGAATTGGACGTGTTTCTCAAGATATTTCCAAAAAGTCTTACGATTTGGATCTCTCAATGCACAAACCAACGACTCGAAAAGTTAGGACAAACAATTCACCCTACAGACCCCTCTGAAATTATGCTTGTCCTTGGATGCATGCTTGTCATGTCTTATGATAGGGTGCCGAAATTCTCTCATTATTGGTCATCTAATCCTTCTTTGGGAAATGTAGCAATAAAAAATGCTATTTCAAGAGACAGATGTAAAACGTTGCTGTCGAAACTATATTTTGCTACACCAAAAAAGCCAGAAAATGCAAGTAAAACATATTATATTGACGAGGTTGTTTCGTGCCTGAAACAAACCTTCAAACAGTGCTGAAGCAAAAGCTCATATCAAGATGTTGATGAATCAGTGGCAAAATTCAAGGGATGTTCATCCCTCAAATAATATATGCCGATGAAACCTGTGAAAAGAGGGATAAAAATTTGGCAGTGATGTGATTCAAAAATAGGATATGTATATGACATGAGCATTTATTCCGGAAGAGAAACGGGTGAAGTTCAAGGCAAACTCGGGGAATGGGTAGTATCAAAGCTAACGGAGACAATCCGAGTAAAGACGTGATGCTTGCGTTTGACCGATTTTTTACAAGTGTGCACCTGATGGAAACCCTGAAATTTCCTGCTATTGGTACGTGCATCAAGACATGCAAAGATGTTCCTAATTTTGCAACAAAACTAAGCAAAAGGGGTGAGGCTGAGTTTCTCATAACTAAAAATGGAACATTGTGTGCGAGGTGGCTTGATTCAAAGGAAGTGATGATGCTAAGTAATTGCCACGAAGCTAAATACACTAAAGTAAATCGCACCATGAAAGATGGAAGCAAAGAAGAATTTGAGTGCCCTGTGGCAATCGAATTCTACAACAAAATCATGGGAGGTGTAGACCTTGCAGATCAAATGGCAAATGTCTATGAATTAGATTGAAAATCTTGCAAGTGGTGGAAAAAAGTATTTTTTTGCCTATTAATGAGCGCAGTGGTCAACTCATGGATTGCATACTGCGAACTCAAACATCGAAAAACCCCACTTCTTGATTTCATTCTACCTCTTGCAGAAGCCTTGATGGCGTCCGGAAAGCTCAACGCACAGTATCAGTGCCATAGAGGAACTGAACGCCCATCCAAAACATCACGAAGCTTACTCAATTTTTGTGACCATCTGCCAGTAACAACAAAAACACGACGGCGGTGCCATAAATTGCACAACAAAAGAAGGAATCGCGCACTAAAATAATGTGCACGATGTGTAATGTCGCATTGTGCATTGATTCTTTCAAACCATACCATTCATATTACTAGAAATTTTATTACTAGAAAATCATTGGTTTTCTTTACAAAATTACTCATTGAAGACTACTCCTGAAAATACATTAGCAGCACAGAAATGGATAGTATTCCACTTTTTTTTAACAGAAATTTTCACATTGCCCTGACACACCATCAGTGATCAGTACTATTGTTCCCTTGAATTAGTATGAATTATGGTAGTGTTTCTATCTAATAACAGCTTTCAAAACATTCATGGTTATTTTTGTTATTCCACAGCAGTCTGTGACCTTTTTAATGGCTTTCTCTCATATATATGAGAATTAAAATTTTGTGTATTTTTTCTTAAAATATCAGTAGAAAAATGCTGACATTGCTGATATTGTTGCAGATAATAGAAATAAAAAATGAATCAAATCTGTCTTTAATACGCATTTCTCTGCAGAATATATCCTCCGGATGAAAATGCATTTGCAAATATGAAACTTGGAATTTGGTATTGAAAGCAAGTTTTATCATTATCCAGTCATGTATTGAATAATATATTTAAATTATGGTTTTAATCTCTGCTACTGAACAAACTGTGAAGTGAAACTTGTTTTGAATATTTTGTCTGTCTCTTTTATAAATATGAATTATAGGTAATGAATATATAAAATCTGGTATCTTTTTGAAAGAAATTATGCTGATCATATTTTCAATCTGTATTTTTGATTTGATATTGAATATTTTTTTTTTTTTTTTTTTAATTCTATTTTCTTTTAGTTTGTCTTTCCCAGCCAAAGAAAATTTGCTCAAGCTATGTTACAAGTTCCAAACAGCATTCTTTCTGAGAGAACTCCTGAAACTTTACTCACACCTCATACTGTATCTCACAGGAATCTTACAAAAAAGAAAAAGTAGTAGTATTAAATAATGGTTCAAGAAGTTTTGTTATTGTTATGAAACCTTGTTATTTAAGTACATGAACTTTTGTGTACCTGCATAAGAGAATTAACTTTATATGGATTGTTATATGTATAGTAATTGTAAAATGTGTTGAAAATCATTGTTACTGGTGTGTTTAATAACTTTTTTCCAACAATCATTTTTAGGGTTTGGGTATGTACGTTATTAACTGTATTGTATTTATTTAACATTGTGAAACAAGATAGACTAAAATAGATTTGAAATAGTGAAGAAAAATTGATGGGGAGTGGAAAGTAAAGTGCAGGACATCTTATGAGCAGTGATTTGTAATTTTTTGGAAAAGTGTAAAGATGTAAACTTTTTTTTTTTTCAGTATTTGTTTGGTGTTACATTTTGAACAACTGATGAATGGCAGCTAGTTGTAATATAACATAATAAGTTTTAGTCAGATATATTTTTTCTCCAAAAAGAATGATTTTCACTTTTTGATTTATGAATATGCATTTCTTAAATTTTATGAAATAAACTAACTATCTGTACATAAATAAAATCAGTGAGGAGAAAACTGCATAAATTATTTTCTTATGAGACTGTGTTCTTTTTGATAAAATGTTGCCAAAATTTAAATGTGACTAATTTAGGAGGCAATATTTGGAATTTATAATAATTCTGTGGCTGTACTATAGTTGCTCATAGTGTGATAAATTTTGGAAATCTGATCTGATGGGCTATTTTGCTTTGTATACTGAATTTGATCTCTTTTTGACTGCCTAAAGACCTTTCAGATGTACGTATATTTTCTGATGTGGCAATTAAGTGTAGTGAATAACTGGCATTAAAGTGCAGTTTATTTGTTAATTTTTTTATATAATGCAACTAATTTTATGTTTTTAGTTCCATATCATTTTATGCGAGTGATTTTTTTGCATATCACTAAACTCTGAGCCAAACTGAACTTGCCTTAAATTACTGTGTTGTACCAGTGAAGATGAGTATTGCAATTTTGTATGAAGTTGTACTTAAAGATTATACTGTTTCACACCTTTGATAGGTTGGACTTGGTCACTATTAATATCTTATATATCTGTTTTTCTTATTTATATGGATTTTTCTTAAAATAATATAGGTTTGTGAGACATATATATGTATGAAATTTATATAAGTGCATAAATGCATATATTAAATATTTTGTCTTAATTTTAAATTCGCAGTGTAATTTTTTCTGTTGTGTTCATGATAAAAAACAATAATTGTTCTGCAGTTTTAGTCATACAGTTTTTAACTTGTTAGTTGAAGAAAATAGTGCAAATTTCTGTACTTTTATGTATGCATTACTAAATAATGTATGCTTTAGTAAAATTATATGAAAATTAAATTTGATTTAGTTTTATCCTTAATGATCTTGGAGATGTTCTATAAACCATATATAATGTGTTTTAAAAAAATTATTTTGAAATTTATTACTTTTTATAACAAATGAAATACATCATTGAAATGTTTTGCCTTTTGCAAGCATTTCCTTAAAGTGCCCACTTACACTGCCAGTCAGTTTAATTGTGAATATTGTACATCTAATTTTTAAATCAAAGAATCATTTAGTTTATTAGATAGCTAAGTTTTTAGTATATTTAAATGTGTGGTAATGTACTCTGCTTTGTGGAAGCTGTATTACCATTTATAATTTCAATGTGTTTATGTTTTATATTCATCAGAATTTTATAATTTATTTGTGCCATATATAAATGTTTCTTCAATTTTAATTTTTTGTGTAATATGTCACTGAATTTAATTTGTATTACTGTATCTTTCCTGGGAACCCCCTGAAAAGTTTATTGCTCAGAAGAATCAGAAAGTAAATTTTTTTCACAGGTTTGAAAATTGATATTTGTAGTTAAATGGTTTAAGGAAATTTAATATTTATAGTTCTTGTTTGAAAACACCATTACATTAAACTGTGCAAAAAAAAAATTATATTTAAAAGGCATTAAAATATAATTTTTTTTAAAAGTGCATCTTACAAGAATAATTATTTAAAAGGCATTAAAATATAATTTTTTTCTAACAGTGCATCTTACAAGAATAATTATTTAAAAGGCATTAAAATATAAATTTTTTCTAACAGTGCATCTTACAAGAATAATTGAGTTACTGCTTGTAGTTTTAAAGGAAAATTGTTTGTTTTGAGAATTATGAAGAATAGTATTTATTTTGTTCTTGAAAGGGCAAATGCTAATGTAGTTAATGAATAGCTTTAAAAGGTATATGATGTAAAATTTTTTTAGTAAATACTGGTCTCATTTAGTAACAAATATTTTCAGAACAATGCATAATTGAGAAGCATGTAAAGCAGTAAATAGATTAAAATTTTAAAAGGGCAGTCTTTTATTTGAATTAGTTATCATTCAATTGTTAAAGGAAATGCCACTAAGCTAGCCTGTTTTCAGTATTAATTAGCAAATTTATTTTTATTATAGATGGTTAATGACTATTTAATGAGCAAGTTAACAATACTGTTAAATTTACTGGCTAGTTGAGTATTAAAACCAATCCATTGGAATCTTGATTCAAGTCCACTGCCAGGTTTTAATTCTTTTACATTGCCAGGCTGGAGAACCATATAGTTCTTATTATTTTAGTTTTTTTTTTTAAGAGATTTTTCAAGCTGATGATATTTCATTCTACATTTTAAATCAGATATAATCTTCAGTTTCAGAACAACTGTTTATATGAATATCTTGCATTGTGGTTACTAACTTAATATCCCATTTTTAAAATTAATTCTTAACCTTTATTAGCAAATAACACACCTATTGGTAAAAGTATAGTTTACTCGGATTTTATATGTGCTAGCTTATGATGCATGTGTGAAGCAAATATTTATGCCTGTAATTTTAAAATTTAATTCATTTAAATCTAGTTATTCGCAGAAAGAAAGTTTCTGAGCAGCATACTTAATGAATGAATTTTTTTTATATCCCTAAAAACATTATACATTTTCACCACTCTCTTCCTATTTAATTTTTTTAAATATTTTTCAGTTTCATCTGAAAATTTTTCAGAAAAATAGAAATGGAGTCTTCATAAATTTGTCTTTAATCTAAATTTATTTTATACTTCCAAGTGGACATAAAGAGGAACTAATGCAAAGTTTTTTTATAATCGACAATAATTATAAAAATTCCCCACTTTTTACATCAGTTTATAATCTGGGGAACGAGCATTCCAGCTTGTCATATCTTAAATTGCTTTATTGCACTTTTTAACCTTAGAATTTAATTTGTTTTATGCGAGTTTCCCCCCCCCCATTCCCTTTTTTCCCAGACTAACTTCATTGTTACAGTGCTGTTATATATGTACAAATTCTTAAAGACATAATGTGTGATTTAGAATCTCTGAGTAATGTGTGTACATTAATGCAATCAAGTGCAGTTATTTTCTTATGTATCCATAATGTCAAATACAGGCTAAGTATTTTTATGGCACTAATTTGGAATAAATACTTTTTTAAGGTAGTGTATTGTAGCATTTTTATGTGTCTATATGCATATTATACTGCAATATCCAAGTTCATTTTTCTTTTTTAAAATTGCTATAATGATGATGTTTCATAAATATGGTGTTGCATATAGGATTAATATTCTATAATTTGTATGTAATGAGAATGAATAATTTGAGGTAGTTACAGCAAATCTTTTAGGCTTGATATGTCAAAAATTCAGATGCCTTGACTCTGCTAATGTGTTCATCCTC